AAATCTTGCACTTTGTTATCATCATCTAAGCATTATCCCAACTATATAGTGTCAACTAACACTTATCCCATATCAAAAAGTAACAATTTTCTTGTTCAGATTTCTCTCATGAACTTGGACTATCTAGAGTTGTTTATTGCCTTATACATGTACAACCTAAATTAGCCTTTTCTTCAAGCTGAAATTGACAAATTGTTGAAGGGGAATATTGAGTGGATAATTGGCTAGGTGACAAGCATTGAAGGTCCATGGATCCTAAGACATCAAGTTCAAGGGGACAAGGCATTGGGTTTTGGTTTAAATGGAGCATTAAGGCGGGTCCCTAGATCAGCTAATCACCTTGTTGATTTTGTTGTAGGAAAAGATTAGCTAAGGAGTTGTTTTAGGTTAAATGGATCATTAGTAGTAATGGACCATCAGTGGTTGGTCGCAATAATCTCATATGTCTTATTCCCTATTACTTGTGGCATAGAGCCATGGCCAATATATTTTCTCCCATTTTGGTTACCTATACACTTTTTTTTTAAATGTTTTCTATGGTATATGTTTTTTTGGTATTGTAGATAGGGTTTCTAAACCTTCAGCAACTTCTTAGGAGGTTTATGATGTAGCTACATAACTAGTAGTTAAGGTTGCAATGGAAGGCAACAATGGTATTACCCCTTATTCTCATGATATGCAAGCCACACATCAGCGTAGGCATCTGGAAAAAGTGATTTGACAAATAATCCTCTACCTCTAAAGAGTAGGAGGGGCTAGTCCCTCCATATCATCAAAACACAAGATCCCCTACCCACCTTTAGTTCCAATTCAAAATTTTCATTAATGAGATTGAAGCACAACTAAAACCATGGGGAACATATACCTTACCGTTGAGCCAGAACAAATAAAGCCAACCTAAACTGAACTGGATCTATATGACAGAACTTCCCTAGATCACCATTAGATCAACTAAAACAACTCTTGAAGAGTGAATCTATCAAAGTCTTGAATCCTCCACTACTAAATGAAACTCGTTATGGTGTTCATAGTAGAAATAAAATAAAATAAAACATGAAAATTTTTCACACATCTTTACTTAGAAGTGATGTAGCATTTACAAATTTCACATATAGATTTATATCCTACTCATGATTTAATACTAGTAAAAAGAGTAGAAAAAATAACATGATTTGATCTAGATATAATGCACACAAGTGAGTGGCGTTAGTTGCAAAAATCTACACTATTGAATGTTGATGATTGCTAATATGAACACCGTTGAACGCCGTCATTGGTTAGTTCTATTCAGTGGAGAGTTGAGACAAATCCAAATTGGTTATTGAGACACACACACATACACACACACACACACAAATTACCTGACGCCAACATCATTATTGGGTGTCATCTATGTGAGAGTTCAAATATGAGAGAATGAGTAAATACAAGAGAAAAATAGGGCAAGAAGAAAGGAAAGAAGAGAAAAAATGTCTAATTTGTGCCTATCGCTATATAGTATTATTTTTAGTGGCAATCGCCATTTAGCCCCTTTCAAAACTACCACTATTTATCAGTTTTCTTGTAGTGAATATTGATACTCTAGCTTATGCAATAATTTAAATTGATGGTTCTTATGGTCTAATTTCAGGTTGACCATGAAACACATCCATATTCCTCCAATGTTTCAATAGCAACACATTCATTTTTTAAACTTAACTCAATTGACATTATCAATAAGGCAAAAACATACACATATGAATGAAAGTTACAACTACAACCAACTCAAGCAAGATGCTTCCTCTTCAATATTGATACTCTAGCTTATGCAATAATTCAAATTAATGGTTATTATCATCTAATTTTAAGTTGGGCACGACATACATTCATATTCCTCCAATATTTCAATTGCCATGCATTCATTTCTTAAACTGAACCCAATTGATATTATCAATAAGGCAAAAACATACACATATAAGCGGGAGTTACAATTGAGGTTGATTGAGATGTTTTATCTCCAATATTGATATTCTAGCTTATGCAATAATCCAAAGTGATGGTTCTTGTGATCTAATTTTAGGTTGAGCATGACAAAACATTCATATTCCTCCAATGTTTCAATAGCAACGCATTCATTTCTCAAATCGAACCTAATTGACATTATCAATAGGCGGAAATATACACATATGAATGGGAACAACCGAGGCTGACTCAAACAAGATGTTTTATTTCCAACAATGATATTCTAGCTTATGCAATAATTTAAAGTGATGGTTCTTATGATCTAATTTCAGGTTGAACATGACAAAACATTCATATTCTTCTAATGTTTCAATAGCAACACATTCATTTCTCAAGGTTGACCATGCCTAGCATCTAGGAGCTATGGTGCAAAAGTTCTAATTTTGATCTTTGGTTTGGAAGCATACTCAATTGTAAACTTAACTGAAGTAATAGTATATAATGACTCATTTCAACTCATAAACTTCATGAACCATAATGATAAACCAACAACTTGGATAAAGTAACTTCATAGGAATTGCATTAGAAACCTTGCAAAACACTTTGATTCCATGTGTGCATGATAAGCTTCTAATGGCTATTATAATACCCTCAACATAGTTAATAGACTTGTGGTTGTGTTTTAAGTTATCAATTAATACATCTATCAAAGGCTTAGAATGATTTTTACAACATCAAATTAAATAAAGGGGGCTTGAATTCCATGAGACCAACTTATGTAATAAAGCACTACTTTGCAAAGTAGGGTGTTGAATATTCAATACGGTGAACTCCCTTCCATGTAGCAATCCTTCAATCCAAATAGGGGTGCAACTCAGGTTGGCTCAAGTTAGCAATGTACATTGCTTTGGGTTTAGCCCTTGGGTTGGGTGCATTTAAATTTTGACACAAGTCCTATTCAAGCCTACCCAAGTTACACTCTTAAGTCCAAACAAATATAAGGAAAATACTTTTAGGATATTAAAATAACTCCCAAATCCTTGCATGAATGGAATAGTATCATTTTGACTAGAGAACTTTCAATCTCATGGTTCTTCTTGATTGGTAAGGACAAGCTTAAGCATTAACATTTGGTTAGTCTAAGCCCAACTCAAGCCTGGCCTAGTCCAACCCGAGTTACCCAAACAAATATGTATATACATATATTTTATTTATACTAGTAAGTGTTTATGTGATTTGCACGTGACAATTTTTTATGATGATGATGGTAAATAATATGTTTTCAAAAATTTTTATAAGTATTTTATATTTCTATTTCTATAAAAATTATTTTTATTTGTCACAAATGTTTTCTACAAAATCCTTTGTATTTTTATACTTTTGTGTGTTTTCATCTTTTTTAATTTTTATTATTATTTAACTATGACATTAAGGGTTAACACATTTTGGCCCAAAAGGTTGAATTGTTAACTCTCCACCAAATAGGAAAACAACTTCATTTTTGCATTGGTTTTAAATTTGTAATTTATTTCTATCATCAATAAAAACAATTATTCTTTGTCAATATGGTTAATTAATATAGGATTCAATGAAAGAATGAGAGTTAAGGCCCTAAATATAAGACTTAATGAGAGGGAATTGAATGAGGAGAAATGTAGTAGTTCAAATTACATTTTGTGACCTTACAATTAAGGAGGATGACAACCTAGTTGTTGATTCAAGTGCTTTCACTGACTAGGAAAGAAAGAAGACGACAACCTTTAAAGTTTTAGTTTGTCGATTCATCTAGAAAAAATGTTGGAAGATAGCTGGACTGGGTTGTGCAATAGAGTCTCAATTTGTTGTCTAAATTCACCAAGGATGGTGTTGACTATGATCCTCCATCTACACATTCAATGCTCAAATGGAGCCCTTTGGATACTAGGTGGGTTAAGTTCAATTGTGAGGCAACAGTCAAGCTTAGGTCTTTAAAGGTAGGGCTTGGCATTTATCATCTTGATTTAGGAGGTGAGTTGGTTTTGGTTGCTGCAAGTGTTGTTGTTGCCTTCTTGATTGGTATGGCTGAAGCCTTGGACATTAGGTTTGGTCTATTGGAAGCAAAGATGATGAATATCGCCAACCTGGTGTTGAGTTAGATGCACTCTTAATGATCTCCAATATCTCAAGCCATGATCGCAGTTGTTGTGACCCTCTGTCTAAGTTGTTGCTTGATATTGATCTTTTGGTGTGTGACTTTCCTCTTGGTTAGTTCCAATTTTCTCAACAATCAGTGAATGGTGTGGCTCATGGTTTAGTTATTGGCCTTTGTCTTTGTGCCTCGCTTTTCAAACAAGTGACTTTAATCACATGGTTCTAAGGCCATTGTTAAAAATTGAAAATTGTCTTTTCCTTTTTCAACTTTTTATTATCAAAAAATTTCAAAAATATGGGTATTCTAGTCAAGAACAGGATTCAATAAATGTTGATGAGAATTAATAATTTAAATATAAGAATTAATGAGAGGGATTTGAATGAAAAGAAAAGTGGCTGTTCATTACATTTCTATCCTTACAATTAGAGAGGGACCAAATTCAAAAACTGATTTATTTTAATCAAACAAAAATTCCACTCTCATTCACACTTTTAATAGTAATATTATATATATATATATGTTTCTAATAAAATTTACATTATATTTTGAATATACTCCTGAATTGGGCCATAAAGCCCAATAAAAGATATCCACACAAGATGTATTTATAAATTCTTTCAAATATGACCAACTCGCATAAGTCAGAACCAACTAAACCTAAGCGCAGTTAAAGTGTTGGTTTAAACTTGCGTTGGGCCTAAATTGGTAAAGTCAGACTTGACCTCGGGTTGAAGCCCAAGCCCAAACTTTGCACGTATGGCCTGGGTTGACCCTCAACCCGCCTACGTAACCAACCCACTTTGTAGTGTCGATAGTCTTTTGGGAGAATGACTGTTCAACCCACTTTGTAGTTTTTTTTTTTTTTTTTTTTTTTTTTTTTTATGTTGTCCCTAATCCATACCCGTTAAATATGGGTTTGGTGCAAACCGTAGCAGGTACTCAGGAGTCAGGTCTCAGGTAGGCCCGTAGACCCCCGGAAGGTGCCGCTGGTGAACGGGATTACGGCTCTGGAGTCTGGACTAATCAACGGTCGATCAACAGATGTAGAAGCGAAGCAGGGGTCTCTCCTTCTCTCTACCCTATTTACTTGTTGGAGAGAAGACGATCGGTGCTTGTCAAGTCGATTATGGAGTCGCTTTCGTCTTCCTTGGTTCCTTCTTATTGGGACTATCTCGTCCTATATTTTCTCCGCCCAATTCTTGCTGTTGCTTTTGCGGTGTCCTTGCTGCTTTTGGGTAAAAGTCCACAACTCTCCCTCTGCTTGGTTATCAAAATTTCAGTTTTCTGTCAAAAGGTTGCTTTTATTTGTTTTTTGGGTTTCTGAGTTCGTGGGATAATCTCTTTTGATGATCTGGGCTGGTTGAAAACTCTTATCTTTGAGGTATGCCTACGATGTTCTTAACAAATTCTCTTATTGGATGTAGGTTGGTTCTTGGCGTGGAAATTGGTTTTGGTTCACGTTCCCCTGGTACGAGAGGTTTGTGGTTTGAACAAGAAGCCTAAAAGAGTCAAGCCCCCAACTCGTCGGCTCTCTCGAATCTACAAAAGCATGGATTCTCGTAATTCGGCTTTTGGGTGGTAATTAATTTTCATTCCATTTTGTTTGTCTTCTCTTTGGTTAGTAGCTGATGATGAATGTCTTTCTTTAAGTAATACATTTGAGATTAAATTCTCATAGTCTTTAGTGTATTTGTGTTATTTGATTTTCTAAATTTTTGAAAAAAAAAGATCACCTGCTAATTATTCAATAAAATGCTAGCATGGAAATTTCCGGTTGCAGTTTTATTAACTTTCGACATAAAAACGAGTTCTTTATGTCCTTGAGTGCTGTTTCTGGTTCTCTTTCGCTCAATATGTGTCTTTCCTTGGGTATACTGAAATTATTAGATTGCCTTATTTAGACTCAAACTTAGGTGTTAAATTTACTTCCTTCTGTACCAAGGGCCACTGCTGAAGATGATACTGTGTGATGGTCCAGGTAGGCAGCTAACATTACTATCTATTTTGAACAATAGATGCTATTTATGCAGAGGACATTGTCCGTCCAGGACATTAATTTTCTCCTATTTTCTCTATTTTTGTTTTCTTATTACTTGAAGCCAAGATCGTTCAACCTAAGGGCTTCCCCTCTTGATTAGTGATTTCCATGCTTTATTTGAGCTTGGCTGTCCTATCTCAACAAATTTATTCTTCTATGTATAATACCTTGCTTTTGTATTTATAAATTCAAGCGTATCCATTGACAGGTAAATGCTCCTCTGATGGTGAAACAGGAAGAATGCCTAAACGTGTAGTTATGTACTTTTTAATAGGCATGTAGGGAAGGACATGGTTCAAGTGACTAGGTAGTCCATCCATTGGGAATAATAAAACTCATAAGTTTGATGAATATAGTGAAAATTTTCTGCATATAGTCAAATGAAATATTCTAACAGTTCCAAGAGTTATATATAGAACTACAAATATTTTATTACCAAAAAAATAAAACTACAAATATGTCAATCACTTTTTCTCTAATTTACCCAAACAGTGTCTGTAAGAAAACCTAATATACAATGCATTTCATAGAATATTGGACAAGAAAGAAGATATTTGAAACATGAGTTAATTTTTTCTCTATTCCTTTTTCTTTATGGAAATTTGATTTCTTTTTACTTTTCCATTTCTTTTGGGTGATTCTTAAAATGCATACCGCTTTAAAACCTTTTTTTGATCAGTAACCAGTGATGATTTTATTGATGATAAAATATGCAGTATATATTTACAGTTACAGATTATGCAAGTGTCTGTATATTTCATACAGGATATATTGGAACTAGCCCACTGCTCCTAATAGAACCCTAAAAGATGAAACAAACAGAAAATATCCTTTGGGCTATTAGACACCCACTTGACACCAACATTTGTCTTCTAATTCCCTCGTAGGCTAGGGAATAAGCAGCAGAATTAGCAGACTGAGGGACACTTGCCCCTTTTTACTTATATTTCTTTCTCTATAAACTCCTCATTTGCCTTCAAATCCTGGTTGCGTTGCTTATCTTGTTTTAATGGCATTCTGTGCCTCTCTGTGTATGTCATGTTCCTCATATCAATCAATAAGCATACTCCTGGAAAGATTTACAGAACAAAAAAAAAAAAAAACAGAAGAACAAGAAAATTGATTTTGTGTCTGTTCCAATGGATTTGCCCTGGAAAGACTTATTTTTTCCCAATTTGGTTCTCAACAGGAATGAATCAATAGTGCCTGAAGAGAGGAAGGAAGCTACTTAATTTCTGGAAGCTGCCTTTAACATCATCTAGTGGTGAGTGTTTCTCCCTTAATGAATTTATTACGAGGCAAATGTAAAATTTTATTGAAGCAGGTAAAAAATATATTGTTAAAGAGATGTACACTGAATGTGAAGTTTTCTTATTCTCCCTAAACTATTCAACTTCAGGAAGGTGTTGCAATTAATTGTGTCACAAATTAGCTTTAGGCTTTGTGTTTTCTTGTGTCTGTTCCAATGGACATTCTCATGTTTTTGTTTTCTTGTTTTCTATCTTTAGGCTTTGTGTTTGTTCAAGCTCTCTCCTTTGGGCCTTGATGATTCTGTCCTTTTGTTTTCTCTTCTTTATCTTTTGAAAAATTTCACTCATTAACTAATAGAAAAACAAAATACTGATGAAAAATGTATGTGATATTTTCTAGCAAATGAAAGTGTATTCTATGCCAATTGTCAAGAGTTAAAAAGGAGAACTTCAGTCAAAATTTGTTCTCAAATACTGCACTGATTGATATTCAGCCTAGACTAGTGTTTTAACAGTGCAAGGCACAAGAATAGTGCAAGGGCCTTCTAGCTGCAAGGTGAGGCATGCATCTTTTCAAAGCAAGCTGCAAGTTTTTGAAAAAAGGTTAAAAAAAGTAATGCATAAAAAAGTGAAAACCTGAATTTAAAAGAAATTAAATGTTTCAAAATGTTTATTTGCTCAAATTAAAATTCATATATGAAAATGTGGAAATGAAAGCAAGCATATTGTTGATCATACCAAAGTGCTTCAAGCACTCAATAATTCAAGCATGCAAAATGTTCGTTCTGTCTATTTATCTCCTAGTTGCATCACTTCAACTAGCTAATGTGATATTAAACATCTTGCATTTCTAATCCTTGGATATTGGCCTCCCCCTTGAGGCAAGCCCTAACAAGTTCATGTGGGGGTTTTGGGGCACTGACGTAATTTTTAGCTTATATATAAAGAGGTTGGTTTTGTGATTTTAGTTACTATTCATTCTATTCTATTTTAGTTATGATTCATAAATTCTATTTTAGTTACAATTCATTCTATTCAGCTAGTGTTATGCATCTTCATTCTTTTTAATATAAGACATGTTTCATAAAGAAACATGAAAAAAAGAGATCCCCTTGCCTCTTCTTCCTCCTCATCCCCCTCCTCTTAAGGAGGCTTAAGCCTCCTTGTACTCAAGAGGCTTCACGCCTCCAGGCAGTGAAACGCCTCAATATATAAGGCCAGTTGCTTCTTCTCCATGGAAGTTGATGATGATGTGATGTCACATCCCCACATGTGCACACAGAATAAAAAGGAAAATGTGAATGAAACTTTTTTGGCTCTATTAAATTGTTAATAATGCTGAACTATGGGAAGAGAGTTTGATTCCTTTTCTTTCCTATCATTGCCTGGTTAGATTTATCACTCTGTTAACTCGGTAGAACCAAAGAATCATTATTACTTGCTCAAGTCAAGGCATGTTCTGTTAGGCACAAAGACAGTGACTCACTAATCCCTATGCCAATGTGCACAAACATGCAGTTCTTACTTCTTAGATGACTAAGCTTTAGGTAATTGGTGCCGTTGTTGACTTGTTATGCATTTATGCAGAGTTTTAGACTATTCAAGTATTCATTCATTGATCTGATGGGGGATATAGTCATATAGGGGAACTCTTCCTGATTTTTTGTTTTCTTCTCTCTGATCCTTAAATTATATACTTCTTTCAGAAGCAGGGCCTTGGGTTGAATGAAACTCAGAGAACTGTAAGGATTTGCTTGTGTAGGAGACTGAGAAGGTCTCTTGTGTTTGTTGTACAAACAAGAAGACAATGCCCATTGTTGATCACCTGAATGCCATTAGACTGAGAAGGTCTCTTGGTTTTTGTGCATAGATTTGTTTGTTTTTTTTTTTTTTTTTTTATCAATACATAGATTTGTTTGTTTCTTCCAACTCATCTGTACATTGTACATTGTTTGTATCTATTAAATGAATTGTAACAGGTCGGAATCTTCCTAACCTCAGCTTCCATCATTCCATCTTAATCTCTTTGGCTATTAACTAGTTTCAGATTCTTTTCCTTCTGCAAATTGCATTTATTAGATAGAATAAAATAAAGGGTTAATTACTTATATACCCTATATTTGAGAAACTGCTCTTATGTATACCCTGAACTTTCAAAACCAACTTAAACAGTTAAACATGCCTTGTTGACCTTTGAAAGGTTAAATCTAACTGATAAAATGTAAAAGACAAAAATGACCTTAACTGTTTGTTAAAATTCAAAATATGCCCCCACTCTTCCTGTACAAGAAAAACAACCACAGCCATGGCAAATGATGATCCATTGTGCACTAACACCAGGTCTTCCCTGATTAGCCTAAAAAAGCTTGATTAGCTGAATGCTTTAGCTATTCGGCAGGCTGTGGGATCAATAATAATACTCCACACCAGTGATAAAATACATAGGGCCTGCAATCTTTCAATTCTCATTGTGGATCTCATGTATTTAAGTATTTTATCACCGGTATGGTTTGTGGAGTTACAGAAATGAAAAGAAAAAATTTAAATGGCCGAGTAGGGATATTGAGGTGAAGTACAACTGGGTGAAGAGAAGCGCTAACTCAATGGCTGATGGGTTAGCCAAGCAAAGGGCGCTTAAGGGATCTATGTTTTGGGCTAACTTTTAGCTTTCTTCTTTGTTCCTTGTTGTGGGGGAGTTAAGATAGTTTACCTCCCCTTTTTTGTACTTAAATTTCACAAATATTATTATTTAATAAAGCATCTTGTTACTGATAAAAAAAAGTATTTTATCACCGGTGTGGAGCACTATCATTGGATCCAAAGCCTGCTAGAGAGCTAAAGCGTTCAGTTAATCTGAATTCGATAGTCAGGTGCTTCTCTTGTGTCCGATGTTTTAACAGTATGACCTGGCTGTAAGGACCAGAGAAGGTAGAAATCTACCTTGCTCTATTGCTGTGAACAGTTATATCTGGCTGCAATCACTGGTGGGTCATCTACTTGATGAGGTCTTCATCTCCTGTCTGTTAGCCAGGTCTGAAACCAAACCTATTACAGCCCGTCACTACTAATGTTTTCATCGACCACTCCACACCTTTGTTGCCTCATTCATGGCCCGGTTCTCTATGTTAAGTCAGAGCCACAATCTCAGTTGCGGGTCTTCCTTGCACCCCCATTGAAAGTAGAAATTAGAAAAACGTCTTACTATGTGTTTGGTGTAGCTTCCGTTGGTATGCACCCCCATTAGGTGCTGCATCAGCGGAACAATGAATAAAGTTCAATCATTGGGAGAAGATCCCCCAATGGTTGGTATGCACATAAATTAAAACCCACTTTTATGAATATCAATGTATACGGATGAATATGATGGGAAAAATCATGATTTTTAAAAATCGATCTGAAGATCGAACCGGTTATCGGGTTGAACGATCCGACCATTTGAACCGAATGGTCGGCCTATTTTAACAAAAAAATAAAAAAATAAAAAATGGTCAAAACTGTTCGAATAGTTAAACCGCCCGGGTCAGCGGTTTGCTAACCAAAATTAATAGTTTTTGAAGAAATTTCGGTTTTGGGGAAAACTAAAACCAATCACCTGACCGGTTCCCAATTTTTCTGATCCGATCGTCCGATTTGATGCGGTTTTGACTACCATGAGAAAAATGCTAATTTGGCAATGACATAACGGCGTTTTAATAAACAACTATCACAAAATGCCCACAGAACAAAACACAGGCTTAATCTAACCTTTCATGCCAATAAGCGACAAAAACATTGGGGTACTGATGAAAGAGCTCATAGGATACGAGTGGAAAAGCTCAAAGGGACCCATTTTTTCGTCCCTCCATGGTGCAGAGGCAAGAAGCTCCTTAAGCAACAAGAGACCCATTTTCAAGTATTTAAATCAGATAAATTCTTTGGTCTCTCTTAATCCATGGCTATTCCACTGCTCAAATGTGCTTAGAAAATATCATAGAAGAATGGAAAGATAAACTTGGAATTATGAAAAAAATTAATGATAGCTATGAACGGCCCCAAAAGTTTGGTGGGATTTTTCTGCATTAAAATGGTCTGACTGTCTTCGGACCCTGAATTTTGCCAATGAACTGAATTCTATCTATAAGCTTAATTTAAGAAATTAAGCTGGAGGAGGTAGAACCACCCAGAATGCTGGTTGTGACATGGGATGTATTCAAGTCTTCGGACCCTGAATTTTGCCAATGGACTGTATTCTGTCTATAAACTTAATTTAAGCAATTAAGCTGGAGGAGGTAGAACCCGCCGGAAAGCTGGCTGTGACTTGGGAATTAGATATAGTGATCACAGTTTTGTGAGAATTTTTGGATACCGCATCCGTTCCCACTCTAATAGGACATGTTTATTAAAACCTTATAGGGTTTAGGACGGGTTTGGATTTTGACCTTAGAGTATTTGGTTACCTGAATCCAATTATATTTAATGCAGGTACCCGTTCTCGATACCCAATTATAAACTCGTATATATGTCCATTAAATATATCTTATATATTTATAAGAAATAAATAAATAATAATAATAATAATAATAATAATAATAATAATAATAATAATAATAATAATAATAAAACTTGAGAGAAGAATCAAACCCTTTCCCTTGTATCCTATCAATGCATCTTTAGCATTAGCCTACCACACTATTTCTACTTAAGAGGGGCATCACATTTTACTTGGACAATGTAAAACCAAGTGCAATATTCAAAATACTATAAAATGCAAAAAATATTGAAAAGACAATTTAAAGAAATGTATCTAAATTCTAGATATGCTTTTGTTACAAATATATGCAATGAAAAAACTAAGATACACAGCTCGAATAACTCTATACATAATAAACATATATTTTAATAGTTTATGGCTTTATGTAAAGTGTAACTTCCTCATAAAATAGGAAATGTAAGTTACTAGAGTATCCCAAAGAAAAGTTAGCATAACAAACTAAATTTCTATTATGATCATGTAAAAGGTTACAAAATTTAAAATAGATTATGTTTAACAAACGATGGTGATATATATGATTTATAAATATTAAATTCTCTTATGAAAGTAATCATAAAAAAAAGTCTCTTTGAGATTATAGAGGTAAAAGCATCTAGAGCTAATTTGATTATAACTAAAGACCTGAGTATTTGTAAATGGATATAATTTGGTTGTTTATCAATGCTAGGTTGGCAAGATAGTGTGGAGTGGTCAAAAACTTATGTTTAATTTAGGTACTTGGTTCAAATCGCTTTAGGCTCAGTTTGGAAAGAGTTTAAGGGTGTCCACAGTTTGGTTAACCAAACCATGGGCATATTTTGGAAACTGAACTGATGGTACCAGTTTTTCTATTTCTTTAAACCGAAATCAAACAGATACCACCGGTTAATCAGTCCACTGGTTTTGGTTTTTGATCGGTTCGGTTCTTCGATTTTTTGGTTTTTTATATTTATAATATATTATATAAATATATGTATAATATTATATTATAAATAATAAATGATATATAATATATTATAAATATAATATAAGTATATATTTATATATAATATATAGAAAATATGTGACATATATTAAAAATATATATATATATATATAAAATATACATATAAATATATATACCGATCGGTTCGGTTAAAAGTTAACCAAAAACCGAACCGGTCCTTCGGTTTTTCAAAAAATCCAAACCAAAACCGAACTAATCGGTTCAATTAACTGCATTTTGTGGTTCAGTTTTCTCAGTTCAGTTCGATTTTTTGGTTTTTCGATTTTTCATGAACACCCCTAAAAAGAGTACGAATACAAATATGTACAATACAAAATAATACAAAATACCAAGTTTTGCAATGGGATGGGATAATTTTCACATGTACCCATTGCCATTCTTTACATGGATGTTTCCTCAACCAATTGGCAAAGATTGCCTAGGCGTTGGGAAACAGGTAAGTATAACCACAATGCGCCATGATAAATATACGATTTGTTCAAACTGCAATTTGGAATAGTTTGACATGTACGTCTCTAGTTTGCTTTGCATAAAATCTCCCAAAAGGTTGCTTAATTTAGCTCTCTACCCACCAAGGCTTAAGCTTTAACCCCTCATTCTCTACATTTACTCTCATCAATTTGACTTCAGAATTGATTGAATTCATCTCCAATGGATGATGAAGAGGCTAACCAGAGTACAACGTGGATCCCAATCACCCAACTTAGCCAGGCCAACTCGGATTTCGCCTCTGCCCTGTCATTTCCAGAAGAGGTCTTTACCATTTCCAGGGTTAACTTTCACTCAATTCATTTCTTTCTTTATTTGGGTACCCATAACTGTGATTGAGACGTGGATGTGATGTCCTTATGTGCTGCTAGGAAAGGGCGTTCTTGATGCTTACAACCAGTGAAAGTGATGAAGAGGAGGATTATAGTAGGGATGATGGAGCTGATGAAGAAGATGGTGATGATCATGAGGATTTTGATAGTGATGAAGAAGAGGGGTTCTGGGAAGAAGATGATATTAATGGTAATTTGCATTTGGCTTCTTCTTGTGCAAATTGGTGTCGCAATGTCCTGGTGGCATTTTTGTCATGGCTTCTAAACAACTTATTTTCGGGTAATTTGTTTTTGAAAACACCCAAAGTTCACCTCAAAATTATAATTTAAATAAATTTCTTTAAAATACACAAACATGTTTTTAATAGGTATAATACATGTAATATGTAATTTTATGGAAATACCAAAACAAGGTTTAAACCCTCATTTTAGAATGCTCTATTAAATTGTGAATGCTATTGATAATTGGTCTGGGTTTCAATGGGGTTAAACCCAATTGGCCAATCCCAATCCTATTGATAATTGGGGCTCAAAATATAGACTGAGGCCCCAGTGGAATAGGGTCATATGGGTCGGGTCTGCCCAGTTGACCCGAGGTCAAAAAAGCTACCCTTGTTTGGCAGTCCAATGTTTAAAATATCGTGTAGATTGCCCAATATTCCTTTTTTTTTTATTTTTTTTTTCAATTTATTAACTACTTGAAAAAAAAGTTTGTTAGGGTGGAAATTAACATCTCAAACTGATAGTATCTCCTATTACCAAAAAACTGATATTATCTCCTAAACTCTCAATATTTTCATGATGAAAATGAGTTCAAGATAATTCCACTGATACGCTTAACATGCAAGCTAGAACAAAGATACTGTTGTGATTCATTATTTGAATGTCTACATTTAACAGATGAAGTTGAGAGCACGGAGGAAGAAAATAGCGACTATGATGGGGTAAACCAGCACCTTTATTTCTTTCGCTCAAATTCGTCATTTCCTAGGTCCAACCTGTATTTCAATTTCCGAACCAATGCATAGTTCATGGCCTGAAATGATTCAATTAGAGTTAGGCTTGGAGGGACCTGTTCGTTTTTTTGGACTTAAGGACCTGTTCGTTTTTTTTTGGACTTGGAGGGAGAAAGCTGGTCAATGGTATTTTAATTTCACTAGTCAAGATACCCATGTTCTCTTTTTAGTTTTATGTGGGGTTTACGGAAAATTTATTTTCCCTGAGTATTACTTACTGGGGAAGTGATACTCATCACCCAGGTGTAAATAATTTTTCCACTTGGGGAAAAATAGCTAATACTTCGATGAAACAAAATTGCCTCTTTTAATAATGACTTTTTATGACTAAAATGTCCATTATCTAATTTATTTATAAAATAAAAGAACATGAGTAAATAACTTCCCGAAAAACATATAAAACTAATAATAACCCGAGGAATCCACATATTAGTGGCTAGAACTTCAACAAATCCACTTTTAGGTTTTTAGAGAATCATCTTCTCCATATATATTTTCTTCAATTTAGCATGAAGAAAAATGTATGATAATCAATAAGAAAACAAATAATACTCCTAATTTTCAGGTTTTTCACTTAACCTGGAAATTAGTTGAGCGACATAACAGAATTGTAAGATATGAACCGAGAGGTTGAATCTCTGTTCACAAAAGGACTAGTTAGGAAGAATTTAAAAGAATTCTATTTTCCTACAATTAGCATGGTTTAAAGTATCAATACATACAAACACACAAAATGCCTATTGCATGTTTTAAATAGGCGACACATTAAGGCCACATTCGCTTTTCGGTAAGGAAATGCTTATTTGGGTAAGTGCATTTATCCATGTTCTTTTATTTCTTAGGTAAATAAAATAATAATCATTTTAGCCATAAAAGCTCTATTATCAAAAGGGGCATTTTTGTTCCATCTAAATGTTGGCAACTTTCTCTAAATTGGAAAGTTAATTTACCCAGTAGTACGGTAAGTGATACCCAGAAAAATAAACTCTTCCTAATCCCCACATAAACCTGAAAAAAAAAACATAAGTTTCTTGGTCAATACAATCCTATTGACCAACTTTCCTCCCTCTCAAAATCCCAAAAACAAATGCCCCCTGCGATAAAAATTAATCCAATTTCAGTAATTGAGCCAGGAAACTTCTAGGAAGGGTAATTCCATATATTTAGTGTTTCAGTGTCCTTAAGATACCATACGATATATCCAATTTTGATACTTTGAACCTTGATAATTAATACCCACTTTTCAGAAAATGTTTATTTTCCACAACCATTTTAAGTGCAACAACACATTATATACCTTGCATGCTAAAATAAGAAATTCTCTGTACGTAGGATACCGGAGAAGATGATACCGACCAAGATGAGTTTTCATATGAGGTTAGTGTGATGATGGCTTCTCTACTCGGACCGGACATAAAACCAGAATGCTCACTGGGTCACAGTTTTACTGGTTAATCAGGCGGTTAGCCCATTCAAACTGTGAAATCAACCATCTGGTCCGGTCTGACTCTTACAATTACCATCAGCACAGAGAGAGATATCAACCAACGGGTTATTTGCAGGGATTGATTTTGCTTGGAGAGATTCTTGGAATGAATAGAGGATTACCAGCAGATGAAGTCACTAAATTCTTGCGTCCCTGTGAATATAAGATAGAGTGCAAAAATGGTCTGGATCGGTAAGTCAAGATTGGTATATTTTCTAACTTCAGATTTCAGAACCATGATCATGGACCATCTTTCTTACTTGACAAAATGGGCAGGTGTGTGATATGTCAAGTAGACTATGAAGAAGGAGAATCACTAGTTTCCCTTCCCTGTGAACATCCCTACCATTCAGATTGTATAAGCAATTGGCTTCAAATTAAGAAGGTAGTTAACTACTTATTTTCAAAAAAAAAACTTTTACAAAGTTCAAACTCATTGTGTTGAGCCAGTTTATCATAAACCTTTGCAGGTTTGTCCAATATGTAGCACTGATGTCTCCTCACCACCCCTTGTAAAGGACTAAATATGAATAATGTTCTTTTTTTGTTCTTGTTATTTTTACTTCATATTCTTATTGTTAAAATCTAGTAACTGTATAGTGGATTCACACTCTATCTCCAAGTAAAAACCAGAAGGAAAAAAGAAAGAAAAAATAATAATTAAAGGGAGAAGTTGATGTTTGGTGGTTGTTCAATCCAAATTAGCTTGATGACTGGTTTTCATTCATTAATAATTGTCTTGGGCTACAAAAATATATAGAAACTAGGCATTATTAACATTGCTTCTTGAATGACTCAAGTATCTCAGAATTTACAGATAAAGCTGAAAAATGGATTCAAACAAAGAACACATTTATGTGAAAACCTATAGTTCTTGGCATGAACAGTGGATTTGGGGTTACATTATCCAAGTTGGATTCAAACATAGAACATAATCATGTGAAACCTGTACTCCATGAGTCCATGGCAAGAAGAGTGATTTTAGAGTTATATTGATCCAAGTTGATTGAACAGGTTGAACCTATGAGGCTACGATGGTCATAAGTAAGAGAACTTATACCAACTGGACATAAAAGTAAACAGGTACTCTTGTGCAAATACACGGGTTATGGGATTTCACTTTTTTCCTTTCTAAACCCCCATGATCCACTGATCCAAAGTAGTGTTGGTCTTTCTCTTAGAGCAAGTTATTTTCAACAGTAAAATATGGTCCTAGGTTCTCGACAGAGCAAGACTGGATCAATATCTTTGCAGTTGAAACCAAGGTTTAAAATATTGAAATGCTCGATACGCTGGCGTATCGGGCATTTTGATACTTGTTTTTTACTTTTTTTTTATTTATTTTTTTCAAAACTGGTTCAGGGGAGCCGGTCTAGGATCCCTCCATCCCTTGAACCGGTCAGACCCCCGATACACCCACTGTATTGGCCGATATGGGCCAATACGTAACGATACTTTGAACCTTGGTTGAAACCCAACTGAAATAGGGATGGTAATTTTTCCCATTTCCCATATTTCCATGGGGATCCACCCCATTTGGGAGCGGGGGTGAGGATGATTTTTTCCCTGAGGGGACGGGGATGGGGAAATTTTCATCCTGTTAGTAGGGATGGGGAGAGCACTCCCCGCCCGTGCCCCACTAATATATGTGTATATATGTATGCATACGTTATATATGTATATATGTACACACATCTATATATCAATATTTTAAAAAATATGATTGAATATGTTCGAATTTTTTCTAATAGGATTGTAAATTTTAATTATTTTATTTTTATTTTTTAAATAAAATAAAAAACAAAAACAAAATGATTAACATTATAAAAAATCACAGGGAATGGAATAGGGATAACATTGTCCCCGTTAATGGGGACTAGGACGAGGACAGGGATGGGGAAAGGCTCCCCATCCCCGCCCCGCCCTATTGCCATTCCTAAACTGAAACAAGTTATCTCACTTTTGCAGTGGCTAAACTGTTAGCATGGTTAGAATCTCAATTGGGTTAAGGTTGGATTTTCTCTGTTAGAGAAAAAAAATCTATTAGGGGCCTAACACCTAACAGCTTAAGCTCTTAGGTTGAACAGTTCCTTAACATGGTATCAAAGCTTATTTGATCAAATGACTTAGTCTTAGAGAATAAAAATCTATTGAGGTACATCACCTAATGGCTTAAAGCTTAAGTTTTTAAGCTGGATGTTTCCTGACATAGCGCTCCAACCCAGGCACTTTTTCATCTAAGGTTATTGGTGAATAGTTGAGTCCTCAAAGGCTCAAAGTCAAAACAATTCAATCCCTGCAAAGTGAAAATTTAAAAAGAAAAAAAAAAAACTGGGGTGTTTAAGCGACCCTGTGTAATGGCAGAAACACTAACACCCTTCACGACCATCTGTATTCTATTCTACAACGAAGTGGGTAGAATATTGTGATCCCAAACTATCCTTGGAAAAAAAAAAATATATGATTTGATAGGTAGGATTTCCAAATGCAGAGCAAAAAATATAGAAACAAATCTAAAACAGATCCAAGCTATATTATTTGATTAAAGCATCGCCATCTCACCAAGATCCTTATCAATGGCACAAACATAAAAATAAAACCTCTCTCTCTCCACAAACAAATATGGAGCATTACAGAGAAGACATCCCATATTGCCACATCCACCCTACAGAGGCTACTCGAGGTGTATGTCCCCTTTGTTTGAAAGAGGGGCTTCTCATCTTGGCATCCAAACTCAAGCAAGAGCTACTTGTTGAGATCCCCCACAGACGTCAGAACGCCCTTGTGAAGGTCCTTTCTTTTGGGTCCTTGGCTAAGACCAGCCATAGCCACCACAGAGCTCCCTCAAAGGTCTTTTCTTTTAAGTCCTTGCTCCATAGCTTCCGATTTCGACAGCAGAAACTGGGCGATGCCAACCAAGATGCATCCTCCAGCCCCGGCTCATCTCCATGTCTGCAACAACCTTCCTAAGAAATTACACTATATTATCTGCGTATCATGGCTGAATACTGTTGTGTTTCCATTGTCAGATTCAGTTTTTTCAATTGACATTGGAAACAACATCTGCACATTGCGGAACACCGGCTTAAGCTCTAGGCCCCCTCAAGAGGCCCTTAACTTCTCTTCTACTCAGAACTTCAGCAAGGAAGCTACAATGGCCAAGACGGTTGTAAAGCACAAGAAACTGCACTGTACAATGAGGTGGAGAAAGCGAATCAGGCAGTTTCTGCAGCATCCATGGAGGAGATCGTAAGCCTAAGCCATGGTTGTTTTACAGGGTTGGGTGGATTGGACAAGGCCACCTGTTCACAGTTGAGTTCAAACTCTTTAGGGAGAATGACCGATAACCCCAGTGTCAGAATTTGTAGGTTTAAAGTACATTTGGGGTAGGTACCAGATCAGAATTGATGCCAATTCACGAGTAGGTATAGGTGCATTGGGTGTTTTTTTTGATGTTTTGAATATATATAGCTATGCAGTGGGAATCAGAAATTTGCATTGAGTCTGTCCGTACTTCTCCGAACTCTTTACCATTTGTGTGCACAAAACAGAGAGCTGTAGTTGTCATCTAATAGCATTAACTAGAAATGTAAGGCTCAAATCAAATGATATATTGATTCAGAGAAATTGTCTTTCTCTTGCTTCTTGTGAAGTGAATGTGTCTATCATGGAGGCCTTGAACCACAAGAAAGACAAAACATAACACCCCAATCCCCATAACCCCTGTATACCTGTATAGATAAAACCCTCTTTACATTTTGTCCTCTTTGTGGTTTAAGGTCTGTGTCCTTTGCAGGGCCAGTCATGTTCGCATTGTTCCTGTTCAAAACTTTTGAATTAAGACCTTGTTCATTTTATGGGAAGTGGAGGCGGAGGCGGAGGCGGGTAAATTGATAGATTTTTTAAAGAAAATAAATAAACCCACATTCATTTTTCGGAATTAGTGGGTTCTAAGGAAAAGAACGATTCCCATGTGAGGAGCAATGATGTTAGCATTTTTCCTGTTCAAAACTTTTGAATTAAGTGGAATTGTGGATCAAGGAAATGTTCATGATTTAGCCCAAGACTAAGACCACTGGAATCTCGCATCCCCATTAACCACTGAAATCCAACCATGCACCAGCATTTGCTTTCCTGAAATCATCTTTTCACAAGGACTTTGAAGCAGTCTTCATAATCATAGTAATAGAATGTTAAAAAACCAGTAATCTTGAAATTCAAAATTGCTAGATTTTAAATGAAACCCAGTTGAGAAATTAATATGGCGGGCTTGCTAGAGTAGTCATCTAGGTGACAGAAACAATCATCTCATACCTGAAACCACTATTTTCTGGGCTTAGGAGGTTTCAGTCCAATGCTCTTTTTACTTTTTTGGTAAAAAAGATATTTCAATATAGACCAAACAACCAACAACAAACACCAACCCAAACAACCTGATACTGACTACCATGTAATCCAGATAAGTCTCTTCAACAGTTCAACCAAATTCTTATTATAAAATTCAACATCTTATTGCCAAACCTCCATTCAAGGACCCCACCCATTTTAGGTAGGTAGCCAACCAACCCATACCATCTAATATGCGGTCCAACATATTTGGGCTCATACCTTCACAAAATGGATATTTGAAGCAGAGAAATAAGGGCCAGGGGTAGGGATTAGGGAAAGATTAAGTTATTAGAATGGCTATGAACAAATTAACATAATATAATCATGACATTTGGTGATACAAAACTAGTACGAATTTTAATTACCATGCGAAATTGCAAACAAGTTTTGGAAGTCAATTATATATTTTACTACATTGCTTTGGGTTTCATTATATTTACTAGAAAAAGGCTTAATAGCGATCTTACATAGAATGGTGGGATTTCTGCACGTAACAGCTCTAGATCCAGAGATAGGTGAAAACCAAGGTTCAAAGTATCGATATGTATCGGCCAATACGTATCATTCCGAGACCCCTCCGATACACCCCTACAGTGGGTGTATCGGGGGTCTGGTGTGGAGGCAGCCTAAACCTGCTCCCCTGAACCAGTTGCGAAAAAAAATTAAAAAAAAAGTACCAAAAGCTGTATTGATTCGCCCGATACGCCCATACCGACATATCGGGCATATCGATATTTGAACCTTGGTGAAAACTGGAAATTGTACATAGTGAGACTTTGAGACTATCCGCCATTGAGGTCAAATGAGGGAAAATAGATTATTTTGGATATTTTGTATGGGTATCATTAAATACCAAAAAAAGGGGTATCATACCTGTCTTCACTCTTCAGACAACAAACGCGCAGATATGGAAGGGTTTTCCTTTGATTTTTAGAGTATACATGATGGACACTACAAGAAATACAGAACTTTGGTTACTTTGGTCAATAGTAGAAAACAGAACCAGAACTTGCAATGGTGTTGGCTTTGGCCTTGCAAAGATTTCAACAGCAATTATTTGGCACAGGAATGAAGAGCCCGGTGGTCTCAGTTGTTTGGACAGAAAGAGACCAATAAAGTAGGTATTTAAAATGTCCAAAACATCTAAAAGTAGGGGCTGACTTGATTGCTCATTCCTATCTAAAAACAAGAATTCAAAAAATCTAAAAAAAGAAGGTTGTTACTGGCTTGACACTGAATCATCATCATCCAATCCAGTTGTTGCTGTGGGCTGTTCACTGGATCTCTCGCTGTTGCTGGAAACAGGGGCTTTCTTATCCCCTGGACCTGCAGAGACCTTAACCATGGCTGGTCTCAGAAGTCGATCTCCAAGAAAAAATCCTCGACGAAATTCTTGAACAATAATCCCTTCCTTGAACTCTGTAGACTCTTCACGTGCAATGGCCTCGTGAAGCTTCATTAAGGAAAGTAACATGTAAAAAAGAAATTAATGATGGGAAAAAAATTACAAAGACAATAACATAGCACTAGAAAAATTTTCATGCTTTTCTTCCCGAAGGGATATGTAGCAGAATTGAAAACCAAATACAAAAAGTATCAGCTCTTATCAGTTTCAATATGATTCAATGTTCATAATACTTGTGGTCTTTTCAGAAGACCATCTTTGCTTGCCATTGCATTTTTATTTTGTAGAAAAGAACTTGGCAGCATTTCTTTTAGAACCCAAAAGTTCATGGCTACATAAAGATCAGTTATGTAGCTATTAACCATTTCTTATATAAAGATGTGCAAAAAATGTTGGAAGTTTTAATTACCTATAAGCAATGGAACTTAAGATTTTATGAAAACAGAATAATCTGGCTCCACTTTGGGGCTTCCACATCTGATGGTTAATAAAATTCTATGAGTAGATGTTTTGGTGTGTCTAGGGTTCAATCATATGGTCTGATTGGTTCATAAGTGTTAGGATCAAAGGGATCTGGGTTGCAAGTGTTTAAGCTAACACGGCTTGAAATGGAATCTTGGTTTAATGGAGAGGTAAGTGGAGGAATGTTAAGTTGAAATTTCATGCAATAGGTGCATTTGGATGTCTGAAGTCAGATGGTAGTGCTTGATCTAATAGTTGAGGTATAAATGGGGGTTAATCGGGGCCATCAGATTGGTATTGGGTAGATCTAGGGGCTTCTGGGCTGAAATTTGGGTTCTTTGGGATTTTTGGTGTTTCAGAGGGACTGGAAAGGTTTGATCGATTGTTTAGGATGAATTTGGGGTTCAGGTGGCGGAGCGAGCAAAAATTAGGTGTTGACACTGTCAGTTTTAGATTCCAACACTACTAGTGACCAGGACAATTTGAAGACCAAAAGGTAAATCAAGGCCAGAGTTTAAAAAAAAACTACCTTTGGTGATTTCAAATCTGGTAGCAAATCATGAAAGTTTATATCAACGACAAGATGGAAGGAAATAAGCTAATTCAAGTAGATGGTCAAAGTCTCACCAACCACAACACCCATGAATTGAGGGTTGTTAAGAAGATGCCTCTCTTCATCCTCTTTTCCGATGGCTGAGTTGTGATCAAGGTTGTAGAGTTGGACACCATTGACAGTATCAAAATGAATGCCTTGTGGATTGGAAATGTAGAACACAAAAATATAACATTGAAGCATGACAGAATTAAGCTTGACAACTGCAAGACATGGCGGATTATAGGATTACAGAAGGGTCCATTATTGACCTTGTCGATGGAGACTTGACTGGGTGCCTCGCTCAAATGCCTTCACTTTTAGCAACTAGGTGCCCTTCTAGGTGACTAGGCGCCCGCCTAAGCGACAAAAATGACAAGGTAAGCGCCTTTTATAATATCATTTATATTGTTGTTTCTTATTAATGTATGTGTTAATACATTTTATTATTATTATTATTATATATATATCAATTATACTTTGTTTTAATGTTTTACTATTGAAATATATATCATATAAAGTTAATAACCTTCTTTAGCTGCTAATTAATATGAATTTGCTCTATTAAATACTTATTATAGTAGTATTATTTTTGAAAATAATGAAATTAATATATGTAGAAGATTTTTATCTTTTAGATGTGATGATTTGTCACATGCTGAATAGTATATAAAACTAGGAAACTAGCCAAAAGTTAGCTTTTTATATTATAAAATTTTTATTGCCTAGGCGACTAGGCACCCCCAGTGTCGCCCAGAAGCACATAGACGCCTTAAAAACTATGACAATCTTAATGGCACTAGTGTTATCAACATAGAGAGGAATAGGTGTAGGGAGATGAACACCATGATTAGCAAAGAGATATTGAAGCCAAACTTCACTACACACTAATGACTTAGAAACTGTTAGTTGTTTCTTGCATTTCGAAGAGATGAGAAAATCACCCATAAAGACACACCACCCTGTAGTAGAACGTCTAGTGTTAGGGCAGCCTACCCAATCTGCATCAAAATAAGCCCTCAACTGAATAGGAGAGGAGGAAGAGAAGAATGGTCTCTATAATAAAGTGTCAAGAACATAATAAATAATCCGATAAATAGCAACCACGTGAGGTTGACGAGGGGTCGAAACAAACTAACTACTTGAACTGCATGAGAGATGTTAGGACGAGTCATGTGAGATAAATAAGGGACCCAACAAGTTACTATTGTAAAGTAGCATCAAGAAGCAAGGGACCATCAAACTTAAGATAACTTAACATTGAGCTTTAGAGGCATATCGACCTATTTGTTGTCCGCAAGGCCAGTAAGTTTAATAAGATTATAAGCATATTTGTGTTGACAAACAAAGTAACCCCAATCACTATGGTGTACTTATAGCCCTAAGAAATAAGTAAGAGAACCCAAGTCTTTTATATGAAAAGAAGTGTGGAGAAGAGATTTAAGTTCCTAAATTCCTTTATCATCCCTAGTCAACAACATATGATCAACATACACCAAAAGGATCGTGATGCCTTGAGATCTTCGATGGACAAAGAGAGAGTGATAAGAGGAACTCTAACTACATTCAACAATAACATCCCAAAATTTCTCAAACCAGGCCTTGGGAGCCTGTCTAAGGCCATATAAGGATTTCTTTAATTGGAAGACAAGGGAGGGATCAAGGATATTCTGCGATTGTAGTGGATTGGTTAAAAGAAGACACTTCTAAGATGTCAAGCTACAGCAATGAGAAGAGAAAGTTCAAATGGTTGATCAAGGATATGGAAGTCCAATGTACTCGGGTAAAAAGTAATGCCAATTCCTTTGCTGATGGATTAGCTAGGCAAGGGATTAATAGGGCTTCTGGGTTCTGGGCTCAATTGTATGTTTTTGTGTTTTCCAGTTAGATGTATTCCCATACCTTAGGGAGTTAAGATTTTTTAGCTCCTATTCCTTGTAACTTTATTCCCTTATTAATGAAATCTGTGGTTATTGATAAAAAAAAAAAAAAGACAAGGGAGGGATCACTACCATATCCAAGAGGAAGCTTCATGTACACTGTCTCCTTTAGTTCGCCATGAAGGAAAGCATTTTTCATATCTAGCTGATAAATGGACCATGAATGCACAACACAAAGAGCCAAGAGAGTATGGATTGTAGTAATCTTGGCAACTAAAGCAAATGTCTCCTCATAGTCAATGCCATATTCTTGGGTATAACCCTAAGCAACAAGACAATCTTTGTACTAGTCTAATAAACCATCGGACTCCAACTTGATTGTGTAAACCCAATGACTTACAATGACAGAAGCATCTGAAGGAGCAACCCCAAAATCCCAAGTGTCATTCTCACGTAAGGCATGAATATATGCATTCATGGCTTCTTTCTAGTGTGGATTAGTAATAGCCTACTAATATGAGCGAGGAATATTTGTGATAGATAACACAATAATCAAGGAACTATGGTTTGAAGGAAAAACATAACAGTAGGGGGGTCTAGAAATACAAGTAGAACGACAAAGAGATGTGGTAGGAACAGAAATAGAATCTAAAAGGAACATCACTTACAAGAGCATCAATGGAGTGATGATTTGACTGAGAGGAAGGGGTTGTAGGTGTAGGATTTTGGGGCACATAGCCGTTTGTGAGAGAAGACGAGAAAATCCTTCACACCAACTCGAGGTGAGACATCTTGTGAGTCAAAGTTCTACAAAACAGAGACAGATGGTGCAAATAGTCTAGCAACTACAACAAAAAAGGGGATATGCTCAAGAAAAAGAATATTTTGAAAAACACAAATGCAACGAGCAAAAGGATCATAACAAAGAAATCTTTTGTAGTCTAGACTATATCCCACAAAGGCACAAATAACAAAGTAAATAACTATGCAAATAACTGGAGAGTTCATGATACGGAAAATGAACAAAGTAAAGACACCCAAAAATATGAAGACTAGATAAGTTCAGAGGATGGCCGAACAATTTCTAGAAAGGAGACATATTAGCAAGGACAGAAGAGGGAATAATTAATCAAGAAAACAACGGTACTGGCAGCCTCTACCCAAAATGAAGTCATAACATGAAATTCTTATAACAAGGTTCTTCCAACACTGAGCACATGCCATTCTTTCGCTCAGCCACTCCATTCTGCTGAGGTGTATCCAAACAACTTTGTTGAACTTGTATCCCATGGCTCCTCAGATAGAATAAAAATTTCCATTAGTATATTCTCCCTTTGAATCTGAGCTGAGAATATGTACTTGAGACTAGAGTTGAACTTGTACCATAGCATGAAATAGCTGAAATGTAGGATAAACTTCTCACTTATGCTGAAGAAAGTAAATCCATGTGCACCTAGTGTAGTTATCAATGAACAAAACAAAATGCTTGTATCCAAGCCGAGAAACGATAGATAAGGTCCAAACATAATCTCAAAGGATGAGGTAGCATGCTCAAATGTGTGAAAAAAGGCTAAAGTGCAACTCTTATTCAAACAACAAAAAACATTTTATGCATCAAATGTATGTAAAGAAGGAGATTTATTTTTAATAAAACTAGATTCAAACAAAAAAGTTAATTTTTCAAAATGTGGATGGCTCAGACGTTTATGCTAAAAATCCTAAGTATATGACCATCATCAACAAGTTGGCCGATAGAAACTAGATTAGTAGTAAGGTTGGGAACAAAAAAGATTTTGGTAAGGGGAATGGAGGCAATAGATGAAAGCTTAAGAGACAAGTCATTACTACGAATGATATTTAATTTTTCACCATTGGTAGTAATGATATGTTTATGATGGGTTTTAGAAAAATTATCTAAGGGTTTAGGGTAAGCTCCTTTCATATGATTAGCTGGTCCAGAATCAATGATCCAAACATAAGGAATCACCCTTGGTAGAAGAGATCTTAGTGGTTTGTCCCTCAGTCACTTGATATGCACATGTTTGGTTCTTCTTCTAAGCACCCTTAGATGGTCTAACCGGACAATATAGAATGATTTGAACATGTTGCTTACTATAAGTGCAAACATTCCTTTTATTGTAGTGAGAAGCAATGTGTCCAAACCCCTTCTACTCATAAAACTTGGTTTTGGAGAAGTCCTTAGCACCTGACTTCTGACTTCCTTGAACAATAAAAGCAGTATCAGCCCCAAAATCAATTAATTTCCCATCAATACTTGTAGTAGTCAGAAGTCTAGTCTCCCCCTCAAAGTTTACCCATCACTAAATCTAAATATGGAAGAGTTCCTCTACTCAAAATATTAGACCCAATTATCTCATATTCGGGTGTAAGTCTCATAAGAAATTGATTCACCTTATTCTTCTCAAAGTGTTAGTAGAGATACTTAACACATTCTACAGAGTCCGAAGGATGTATATGAACAAGTTCATATTTTGCCCACAATCAAGAAAACTGGCATAATATTACCGAATCCTCCTATCTCCCTAGCAATAAGCAAAAATCCCATACTCAATCTAATACTATCTTGACATGTTAGATTGATGGTATACTTTCTTCAAGTACGCATACATCTCATAGGTAGTTTGCATTCTTCTCATGGGTACTGCAATATGAGATACTATCGAACTAAGTATCTAAGAAACTATTTTTCCATTATCCAGCTTCCATTATGAATAGGCCTTGGTATAGTTTTATCCAATTTAGTAACATTTCCATTCAAATATCCTTCTAGACCTTTTTCCTTCAATAAAGAAATCAAAATGGAACTTTCACAACTAGTTCCATCAAACTTCACGGGAATGATATCAGCCTTATCATCCATTCCAGATAATAACCACAATCCAAAACAGATCAATAATGCTGAAATCAATGCTAAAAGGAAGAGGAACTGGTGATTAACTAGCCAACTTCAACCAAAATAGTCCAATATGATACTGGAGTAACACTTCACTAAATAGAATGAGATTACTCAGCAGAAATCCACTACAGTAAGTTTGGATTGATGACAGTCCAAAAAAGGAAATGTTCCCGGACTGTCAATCAGATGAAAACCCCTCTAAAAATGAACCAACTTCAGATCAGATCAAATAAACAGTGAAAGAAGGTCGAGGCGATACCAACTCTATACTCTTAGGCTGATCAGATCAGCCAATTTGAAGAAATCAAAAGAATACTAACCTGTTGGGTATCTTTTCCAGAAAAAACCCTTTTACTTTTGGCTGATCGAAACAACCTTCATACAGTGCTTGATGGTAGTCAAAAGACTTCTCAAACAATCCTTCAACATCCAAAGAAGCAAAATGAATCAATACCTAGTAGACTTGACCTGCTCTGATACCATTTCAATCTACCAATTCAAAAGACAAGAGAGAAAGGACTTCAGGGGTTTCAAATGTAATCATTGACCCCCACCCCCAAAGAGTCACATATATATTTAACACAATTACAAAAAGGCCCTTAAAGGGCTGAAAGAGAAATAAAGGAATAGAAAAAGTAAGACTATAGTACAACAGGGACTATAGTACTACAGTACATCAAGAGTCTCCACAGACCTATCCTCAAAGGTGCACAACCAAGGAAAGGTTAGGTGGGAAGTGAGGTTGTGACCTTTCCATCTAATGAACAAGGCCTTTCTGCTAGTAACTATTATGCTTCACTGAAGAAAAGAATAAACTGGCATTGCACAATTAACAGTAAATATGGCCAAATTGAGATGAATTGTCAATTACAAGCTGTTTAATATCAAAATTAGTAAGTACATTTATGATACCTGTACTTTTTAAAATTTTATGTTTTCCTCTTTCCTTTTTCTTTTGGTTTGATATGTAAATTGAATTTTATTACGAGAAATCGAAATATACAGCATTACAAGCACCCAAGGGGAGGTGTGAGGAGTACATCACTCATAACAAAAGGCAACAATAAAATATAAAGAAGCAAATTACAACTGAGCCCAATAAAGATGATCCCTGTTAACCCCTTGCTTGGCTAATGTATCCGTCATCCCATTTTCTGATCTTCTCACCCATTAAATTACCAAGGTCATATTGTTAGTTAGCCACTTTAACCTTTTTATTTCATCCTTCAACTCACAAATAACAGTCTCTGGCTTCTTTAGCCGGAGTCCCCCTCCTCTTTCCTATTTGACTGTTAATGACAAAATAAACATTTGTTCTTGTTTGAAAGCTCTCTCCTTTTTCTTCTCCTGATCAATAGATGCAACCAACATAAGAGAAAAGCTTGGCCGTTTGGTGAAAACAACCTGGGCTGTTTTGAGGTTTCCTGTTCATGACACACTACCCCATTTAGTCCTTTATTTGTCTTTTTAATTAAATGAATATTGATTGCAATTACTCTTTTACACCACATCCATGCTAATGTGTTACACACATGAGCAGAGCATATCAATGAATCAAGTATGAACAATGATGCTTCAAACATCTGACATTTGTGCCTTATATTTCAAAATGAATTATTAAGGTCATATGAGACCTCCTAGATTTTAGAGGTGGGAAACACTCTTTATTTCCATGGTTCTAAGTTCCAATGCCTTTCAAAGTTTGAAAAATATTAAAGGGGGAAATTAAAGTGAAAGGAAAATGTGCTTTTCAAATTTTCTTAGTTATGACCTAACACCTGAAAACTACTGATTTTATAAAAGATATGACCCTTATTAGATGGAATTCATGTAGCTGATCCTAGAAGAAGATAAAGCGTTTTTACTTGAGTTGATAATTGAATATGTTCATGCTGATTATTTGCACTGCAACTTCAGTAAAACAAAAGGAACATTGTAGAATCTCAAGAAAAAAAAAAGATATTAATACATCAACTTATTAAACACAAGAAGCATTCAAGCGTAGCAGAAATAAACTTATTTGAAGGAGCCTGGGAGTGGCTCCAATAGGTGATTAAGTAACTAAGATGGCCTAGGTAGGGGCATACTAGAAAGGGTGTGGGCAGAACCATAGAAGTAGTGACAAATGATTTAGGAGCCCATGATTTAACAATGGATATGGCAGTAAACAGAATAGACTGATGCACTAAGTGCAAGTAGTAGTCAAAGTAAATTTAACACAGAACTGAAGCACTAGTAAATTCACTTACCGATGGATCAAATGGCTTTCCTACTGTTGGTACAACAGCCACATTCATGCTTTTCATGATTTCCACGAATTGCTTATATATACCCTGATAGCTTGTGTCAATGCTTTTCTCCTTTTCTGTCTCTGTTTTGATCTGTTGCTTGGCTCTCTCAAAATTGTCTATCATAGGCAAAAGACTCTCAATAACTTCTCCCTGGGCATCAGCTATTATTGTAAGCTTTTCCTTATCTGATCGCTTTCTAAAATTTTCGAAATCTGCTTTTAGCCTAAGGTATTTATCCTTCCCAGAAATTGTATCTGCAGACAGTGCTGCTACTTTCTCTACCAATTCATTCTTCTCATTCTCTATGATGCATATCATTGCCTCTATTTCAGAAACAGTCTTTTCATCCCCATCTAAAACAGCTTCCTTATAGACTTTAATGAGGGTCTTCAGTTCAGGTTTTACCTGATTGTTCTGGTCATCCTCCTCTTCTCCATCAATTGTCTGACAAATTAATAATTGTTATTTGTTACTAATTACCAATTAAAAGTGCAAAATGGAATTAATAATATATGTATATCCATGCATACTCAGAATACAGTACATGAATAACTTAAGCATTACATGCTACAATTCTTCAGGAAAAAAGAAGACCTACAATTGAAGAATGGAAACATGAATTTAGAAGCCATGCAGCCTTCAAACAGGTACAAGTGTCTATTTTATCATTAACAGTCACTAGGTTCAAGTTTTGAGACCTGATATGCTTAAGTTAGATATGGATAATTGAATTTAGTGAATTTCTAAAATATGGTACAACATATACTTCCTCATAGTAGAAACAAGTTAACTGTAATTGGAGCATCAGGGGATAGCCAGATAGGGCTGTCAATGGGATGGGTTGGAGCTGACGGACCCAATGGGCCCAAACCGATTGGGTCGGTTCTGGTTCCAGTTCCTGATATATTGTCCCGATTCTTATAGGGTTGGAACCGGTTCCACCCAGTCCTGAACTGATTCAGAGACGACCCGATTGTGTGTGTGTATAAATTAATATATAATATATTAAATGTATTATATTAACATATATTTAAATTAACATTATAATATATTAAATCAATTAACATTATATATATGATATTTTTTTTTATCAATAACATCAATTTCATTAAATTAAGAGAATAGAKGGAAAKGAATRCAAARGGAGAWAAAATAACTTAGCTCCCCAAAAATCAGAAAACTCAGGGAAAGCAAAGAAAATTAAAAACTAGCCCAGAAAACAGCCTCCCTATTCACTCCTTGCTTGGCCAACCC